TTTAGGCTGTAGTGGGGTAGTTCTTATAGGGTACAACACTTTTAGGTTTGCTACTTGTACCCACCTGTGTTGCTAGTTCAATCATTTATTCGCTCACAGTTTAACAACAGACTCCTTTGATGCGGAGGGTTATTTTCGGAAGAAGCATTTGTAACAGTCATCGGCGGCCTTGGTCCTCATTGGCGCCCCACTCGAGCACTTCTTCGAGCTCACGGGAAAATCTCCGAAGCAGCACTCTGCGCCGAAATCCACGCTGAACAGCAAGACATGGACCTGCACGAAGAACGACATAAGAAGAAAGCATTAGCACCGGAGTTCGCCTTCCACAATCAATGACGCTACAACAACAACAACCGACACAACAACCGACAAGTACAACAGTACGTCCCACCGTTTTGTCACCTTTGCAAGACGTCCGGCCATCCGCGCACACACTGCCCGAATCAGCAGCAGTCGACAACACCGCATCGTCAACTTCGGTCGTCAAGCAGTCAAGTAGCCTCTACGGAAGTGCAGCCTTCAACATCTTCATCGCAATCTGCACAAGGAACAAGAAACATCGTCAGCTGCATGACAAGGACAAGGGATTCCTGCATCACCGGATCACCACCCTACTACTCACCAGAAGACCAACTCGATGAAAAGACTCCCCGCCGCCACTCATTGGAGCCGAATCCAACGTATGCAGCTATCGCCCAAAGCGAGCCGTCCGGGCAAGACACCTGGTTCTTGGACAGTTGCTGCGGACAACATATGTGTTCCTCGAGCCGTTTCGTTCAACAAGAGCATCAACTTCAGCGCGAAGTCGTCATCACTGTGGCCAATAACCAGAACCTCCAAAGTGTTGATTGCAGAAAGACTTGGCTACAACTTACTGAGTGTCAGCCAACTGATGGCGAAGGGGATCCATCTTGAAGCAGACAGTACCACACAGGAGTTCAAGCTTTTCCACGGTTGAGGAGGGCTCTACATCGGCAAAGCAGTCTTGAAAAATAACGTCTTCGTCCTCGACTTTGTACCAGATCAAGGAACGGCCGACAGCGACGGCATCGTCAACTTCGCCTCCCGGACGCACCCACCGGATCTCGATCCTGACCTCAGCCCCGGAGGGTTCTGGTATTCACACACCATACCTGAAGCAGAAAGAACACGGGCATTAACAACAATCCGACAAGAAGCAACAACATCGACAACAGCAGAGACAACATCGGCAACACCAACAACACTTACAATACCAATCGCGAGCTCTTCGACAGCATCACCACCCATCGACGACACTCCACCGACTCCTGCACAACAGCTAGCTCCCACTCCACGAGAAGTTCACAGAAGCGCCAACTTCACCGCCGCCTTTTACTCCAACTCCGACCTGTATAGGCGCTCACCCGAACATCGTGCAAGTGAGTCCCTGTGGCACGAACGACTAGGACATCCAAGCAACACCACGTTAAACAACACAATCAAGGCAGCAGTGCTCGACAAAGACTCACTCCTTCTACCCGACGGCAGAGAACTCCAACGAGTCCGCGGAACATGCTTTACATGTCCCGAAGCCGACTTACCGCATCAACCGTTCGCCTCTCACCACAATCCAAGTGCGCCAGCTTATGCACCACTCGAGAAAGTATACAGCAACATTCTGTATACTCGCGAACAAGGACAAGGCGCATATAATTGCGTAATCACTTTCATCGACGCCGCCACCCGTTACGTCTGGCACCTTAATCTTCCAAGTCGTGACATGGCCTTCGAAGCCTTCGTCGCCTGGCTACCTGTGGCAGAACGAGAATCGGGCGCAAAGCTGAAAAGCTTCCAGTCTGACGGAGGAGGGGAATATCAGTCCCAGAGGTTCAGGCACTACCTCGCAACACGAGGCATCAAGCGACTCATTTCGCTTCCCTACGCCCATCAACAGCAAAGCGTGGCAGAACGGATGAACAGAACTCTCCGGAACACCATGCGCAAATTGCTGCGTGGCATGCGACTGCCCAATCACCAGTGGCCTGAGGCGATGGACCACGCTGTCATGCTGCACAACTTGCTTTCATCGTCGTCACTTCCAAACAACGCATCACCGCACCTGCTGTGGACAGGAAAGTTGGGCAACACAAAAATGTTACGAGTCTTCGGGTGCATGGTACAGTATCGCCCACACACTGCAAGAGTCGGAAGATTCTCTCAACGCGCACAGTGGGGACTACACCTGGGCATCGAAAAGCACTACAACGCAAGGAAGATTTTTTACGTCCACTCGAAGGAAACAGTGGCAGCACGTGATGTCATCTTCTACGAGCGACTCACACTTCAAACGTACCTGGACAACCTGGCAGCAAATCGAGACCTCACGGGCGGCTTCCGTGGCAACCGAGCCTTTGCTTCGGCAGCAGACGAAGCTGACTGGGACGAACAAAACGTGGACAACGCATCCGAAGAAGCAGGGCCACTCCCATACTGCTCCGTGCCTATCCCGATGGACGACGAAAATCCTCGCGAAAGTGCCAACGCCGAAACTTATTTCGACTTCGCCGACACCGGTTACGTTACACCTCAACCGGTCGACACCAACATCTCCGAACGCATAGGACCAAATTTCTTACCAGGCCCCGAAGCAGGAGACGAAGCAGCTTATCCAAAGGACACAAATCTCCCTCGCTACACACAGAGTGGTTTGCAGATACTGGGACTTGTCACCGCCGTCCACGGAGCGGAACCACCTAAGGAGCCTGCGACAATTCAGTAGGCTCTGGGGGGGGAACACAAAGAAAAATGGCGTGAAGCCATGGACAAGGAATTGAAGGCGCTGCAGGAACGCAACACCTGGAAAGTCGTGCCTATCGAATTGGCACGCAACAAAACTATCCTCACGGGAAAATGGGTCTTCCGCGTGAAAACGAAAGCCGACGGAACAATCGACAAGTTCAAAGCACGCTGGGTCGTGCGAGGCTTCGACCAAGAACAAGGGCGAGACTTCACAGAAACATTCGCCCCAGTAAGCCGACATACCTCGCTGCGGATTCTCCTCGCAATCGCCGCCATGAATCGGAAGAAGCTTCGACAAATTGATGTCGCCAACGCCTTCCTCTGCGCGCCCGTCGACGCTGGGATTTTCGTCGAACTCCCGCACAGGTCCAACGCAGGCCCCAACCAAATCTGTCAACTGGAGAAGTCACTGTACGGGATTAAGCAAGCCCCGAGACTATGGCAGCAGCATCTTCACGCCCGCCTTACTCGCATCGGTTTTCTTCAGCTACCACACGACCAAGGAATGGCGAAAGGCACCGACTACATCCTACTTATCGTCTACGTCGATGATCTTCTCTACATAGGCTCCACCGACGCGGTAACAACGTGGTTTGAAGGGGAGCTGCAGGGAGATCTAACTCTCACCGTCGCAACCACCGTGACACAGTACCATGGGTGAACATCGAAGACGGTGATAATGCCATCTACCTCAGCGCTGCAAAATACACGAACACTATTGCTAAACGCTTCGGACTCACTCCAACCACTATCTCCACGCCATACCGCTACACCGACGGAAATCGGAAGGCCTCTGCCCTACTCAAACCTGCAGGCGTCCGCGACTACCAAAGAAAGCTAGGCTGCCTACTCTTCGCAGCCGTCACCTGCTGACCGGATCTATCCTACTCAGCCAGCCAACTCGCTACCTACCTCAAGAAGCCTGAAGCAGATCACTTACTCGAACTCGACCGAGCGCTTCACTACCTCGTCAGTACTCCGACAATCGGACTCACCTACCACAAAACCAGCTCCGCAACACCTAAACTAATCGGCTACGTCGACGCCGATCACGCTGGAGACTCAGACAACAGACGGTCTCGAACCGGCTACGTCTACAGACTCGAACCTATCGGGCCTATCTCATGGCAGTCGAACAAGACAAGAGCTAATTGCTCTCTTGTCAGCAGAAGCAGAATATATCGCACTCTGCTCAGCAACCAAGGAAGGGCTATATCTTCGCGAACTACTGGAGGAAGCAAAATTGGTTCAGTTACCCAATTTCTCTCTCTTCTGCGACAACCAATCGGCCATTCGCATAGCGAACAAAAACTGGTTCGCGAATCGAACGAAACACATCGCCCTTCGGTAATTCTTCGTGAAAGACGAGATCGAAAAGGGAAGACTCGAACTATCCTACTGTCCCACATCCGAGATGGCAGCTGACTACTTGACCAAGAAACTCGGGAAACAAAAGTTCGAGTACTGCATGCTGCTGACTGGACAAGGACACGTCATCAGCAACGATCCTCCAGAAGCGAAGGGGAGTGTTGGAAACAAGTGACTTATAACGCTTCTGTCGTATCGAAGCTTCGACACAAAACGGAACTGACTACAGCGAAGAAGCACTCGAGTCAACCTTCGGAGGTTGCGCGAAGGTCAAAAGTCGGAGACCTTTGATCTGACGAAACGTACAGTGCGACAACAAGGACACATAACTGACTCGTTACAGAGCAGTTACCCGAGTCGGCACTGTATCGAACCGCAACAGCAAAAACAGTTAAGATAGAACTTTCATATTCCTCCGTAATCATATAAAAGCCTTATTAACTTTCATATTCCTCAGTTACTCCTCTGCTATTATCAACTTATCTTGTTCTCACAAACCAGCACAAGGTGGTTCACGACAATTCTTCATTAAACTGCTTCCGCTGTTACAACTCTACATCAACACTCGATCTTAGTCCTGAAAGTTCCTAAGGGCTTTTCTCAGCCCAACACAGCTGTTGGGGTGCTTTGCTGATGACCAGACGGCAGTCTCTGGCCTGTCCTGAAGTTCTGAGGTGGGTTGAGAGAGAATGACGACTCTCCACATGGGACGTAGCCCGACCGCAGCTCTCGCGTTGTGTCCGTCAAGAAGCCGCTGCATTGCCACGATTCCTTTCGCGGCTTCGGAACCACGGCTATCGAGAACCGTAGGGGCGCAGCGCCAGACGCCTCAGATTTCGCGGTTACGATGTCCGGCGAAGTCGCTTACGGCGATGTTACGAGGTTCGCAAGCGGTCATAGTGCGAGCATCTCGTCAGACGGTGGCTGCCAGCCAGCCAGTGATGATCCGCTTCGCTGACGTGGAAATTGAGCGTCTGAAATGCAGTGACTTCAAAGGGACCCAGCAGCCAGCCACCGTGCGATCATTATCAGCTCGAGGTTCGTTTCACTGGCTGAGGGAGACCGATTGGGGTCAACTTCGGATAAGAAGTCATATTTTAGACGGATTGTCGCGCTGCTGCTGCTGCCGTTCTGTTGTAACAACGTTCCGATGTGAAGCGCACGGCCATCTTGTAACTGTCAACCTTCCTTTCAAAACTTACAGGCAATGGCAAGAGAAGGCGAAGTGTCAAGAGCAGGGCGCAGGGAGACGGAGCAGGAGAGACCGCTACAGCCGCAGCCGTGCAGGCAGCGGTGGAGGCGATGCGAGCGCGGGAGATCAAGAAGGAGCTCGAGAGCCTGGGTATGACCGTCTAGGTACGCCGAACCTGGTGTGTGGTAACCCTGGTGAAGAGTCTTCACGGCTATATACAGGCTTCTGGAGTGTTCTAAGTTGGCTGGTTGTTGAAACTAACACAATTCTGAGTATAGAAGCGATTCAGGTCAGGGACATACAGCATCCACGCATGCAGCAAGAGGCGCAGAGCACACAGCACAGCAGCAACGCACAGCATAGCACTCGATTCTAAGCTTTTCAGATCGAATTGGGACAATATAATCATCGCTTGCTGCCGTGACACCTTCAGGCATCAGAACGCGGGAAGTGTTTGACAGGGACCAGCTGGTCTCTTTGCTCGTTGCCCATCGAATATCTGGCAATGCTTCGCTCTCTTTACATAACATTCTGTGTGCCGTTGCTCTCTGTGTGTGCGCCCTCCCAGGCATCAGCACGCGGAGAGTGGTTGACAAGCACAGCCAGTCTCCTTGCTCGTTGCTGGCATCTTTCATCTGATTACTTGGCACGTGTCGATGTGTCAATCCTTGCACCCACATGATTGATGTGTCGATGTGTCAATCCTTGCACCCACATGATTGATGTGTCGATGTGTCAATCCTTGCACCCACATGATTGATGTGTCGATGTGTCAATCCTTGCACCCACATGATTGATGTGTCGATGTGTCAATCCTTGCACCCACATCCACCAGGCATCAGCACGCGGGGAGTGTTTGACAAGGACCAGCTGGTCTCCTTGCTCCTTGCCCATCGCCTCTCAGCTCCACCTTCCGCTCCTTCTCCACAGTCCAGCAGCAGCAGCAGCAGTAGCAACAGCAGAACCGCAGAGGCCTCTCCACCTCCCTCCCGCTCATCGTCCCCCTCCCCCTCCTCCCCCTCATCCTCCTCCCAAGGCGTCATTCTCCGCATGCACATGCGTCGCCTCGCCACCACGGCCAGAGAGCCACGTGAATACGTCATCCTCCCCCTGGAAGTTGCCGGGAAGGGCCCCTTTGATTTCCTCCTGGACACGGGCAGTAGCACCACCCTCGTCTCCCCGGATTTCGCTTATGGCACTATCAGGTTGTCTACTAACGAGGGCAGGATGACCCAGGGGCTCGGAGGCATGGGGCCGGAGGGGAAGCAGGGGCGGGAGCTGCTGCTTCCGGATGTGAGGCTCGGGGAGTTTAGGTTCGGGCCGATGCAAGCGGTGGTGCTGGACCTGCAGTACACGGGCCTGCCTGGTTCAGTGGCGGGGATCGTGGGGCTGTCGTTCCTGTCTGCCTTTGACATGGACTTTGACTTCCCCAGCAGCACTCTCACCGTCATGCACTCAGGTGAGAGCAGCACTCTCACCATCATGCACTCAGGTGGTTTTATGTGTAGAATAGCTCCCCGCCCACCCTGGCAGCAGCAGGAAAGTAGACAGCAGGAGGCACCATTATTCCTCATTTCAACTTCTGCTCCCGTCCTTTATGCAATCATCTCTTCCCTGTCGTCCCTTGTTCCCTCTAGCTCTCACTCCCTTCATCCCTCACGTCCTTTCCCTCACTCGCCGCTCTCCTCCCAGGGGCTGCACTGGCAGCAGCAGGCAAGTGGACGGCAGGAGGCACCATACCCCCTCCGCCCTCTTCTTCTGCCTCCCAGGGATTGGATTTCGAGGGGCTGGCAATGCTCGCCCCAGCCACTGTTCCGTTCAACCTGCCTGCTATCCAGGTGAGCAGCTTTCGGAATGACCTGCTCGCGTTAGTGACCTGCAATTGGAGCGAGCTGCTTGGCAGTGAGCTGGCTTCATCTGTATTTCATAATGTCTTTGAACAATGTCTCTGCATGTGAGAGAGCTTCTTCTGTCTCATCTCCCATCTCCCACTTGCCATCTCCCATCTCTCAGTTCCCTCATTGTCCTTCACCCTCTTATCTCTTTCATCCCTGGCAAGCTCATCCCTCACCTCTCTCTCACAGATTTCAAAGAATGGCAAACGCTTAGAGACAGTGATTCTTGACACCGGGTCTGGCCTCAGCCTCATCTTTCTCTCCTTCGTCTCTTCTTCCTAGTCCTCCCCACTTTTCTCACACAGCCCTCATCCCTTTCATCACCCCCATCCACACCCCTCGCCTCTCTCACTCAGATCTCGGTGAATGGCAAACACCTGGAGACAGCCATTCTAGACATGGGGTCTGGGCTCAGCCTTATCACCACCGCAGTGGCTTCTCGTGCTGGTGTCACCCCCTCTCGCATTGTAAGCATGCTGTCGACAACCACCTGAAAAGAACCTTGCCAGCAACCCTTTCAAAGTACTAACAACCGCCAGCATTGTAAGAAGCCTATTAGTCACAACTGACTTCATAAGTACCATGCTCGAAACCTTATGAAAGGCTCATGTATCAATTACGAGAACTGTACGAGCCAAGCTCACAAGCACGACCACTGTAAGCACTTTAATACCCACAGGAGCCATCAATGTTGCGAGAATCCTAATACCAACCACCAGCATTGCTAAAACCTCCAATGAAAGGGATCTCACTAATGCAGTTAACCGGTGGACCCTTGACTGCCCGTGTGACAGTCATTGGCTGATGGAATACCACTCCCATGCCTCTTGACACCACCCGTTCTTGCGTATAGCAAGCAGTGTTAATTCACCTGTTATTTGCTTAAGGCCACGGATGAATCATAATGTATGGAAACTGCACCCAAATCAAACTTTTTCACGTTAACTGCATTCCTTCCACGCCACATTAACTTTGCCTTTTCTTCCTTCCACGTTTGCCCCCACTACCTTTATCTCCATTTTTTCTTTTCCCCAGGGTGTAGCATCAATGGTGGACGTGGGAGGTGGAACAACACAAATGGGAGGAGCAGTAGCGGATCTGTTCCTTATAACGAAGCAAGGAGGGCCAGCAGGGACGTCAGGCGGCCGTATCCCCTTTACAAGCCACCCCATGATAGTGGGGGACCTGCCAGCCCTGGCAGTGATGGGAGCAGGGGCAGTGGTGGGAATGGATGTGCTCAAGAGGACTCGCTGTGTGGTGTGCTTCAAGGATAACAGGGTTCTGCTACAGAAGAAGTTTTAGTGGTAGGGAATCGTTTTGCCGTTACATGGAATAATGTGTGTCAAAAGTACCAGTCCTGTTTGCGTGGCATAATGTGATTCATGCAGGTAGTTGTACTCGCCCATCATTCGGTACAAGAGCCGATGCTGTACCAGAGTGGTTTCTAGAAGCAAACGCTGCGTTGTGTGTGTGTGACTGACCGCTCTGTCAAATTAACTCAATGCTTAGTTACCTAGGGTTTTGGCTAGGAAACGTGAGTATGGAGAGGAAGGTTTGGCAAAAGAGGATGATTGATTAGAAAGGAAGGTACAAGTAGGAGAAAGGGTGGGCAAGATGGTGCACCACCAACAATAACAGTAACACTACACAGTAGCTACACTAGCAGGCAGTTATAAGAAATTTACAATTTCTAACACACCCCCTAACTGCCTGCAGTGGGAGCCACGTGCAGAGACACCAGATCAGAGTAGCACAGTAGGTGTACGGTGGCAGAGGCACCGGTGGCAGGTAGACTTCACTCCCGCCACCCCCTCACCCTCCTCCCCCACTGCAGTAGGTGTGGCAGTAGGAGGCGGCTGTTGCTGAAACACGGGGAGGCGGCTGCTGCTGAAACACTTCCGCCACCCACTCACCCTCCCCCCACAGCAGCAGGCGCAGCCATGAGAGAGGAGGAGGCGTGGCGGCAGCTGCTGCTGCTGAAACACATCCACCACCCCCTCACACCCTCTCCCCCCCTCCCCCCCACAAACTGCTGCACTCGCAGCAGGGAGATGGAGGAGAAGGGGGGGGGGGGGGTATGAGCTGCGCGTGCGACTGCAGGGCGCGCGGGCAGGCAGAAACCGTCGCGCGCCTCGACGCGCGCCCGGGGCGCGCGACGGGCAGGAACCGACGCGCAGCCGGGGCGCGCATCGGGCAGAAACCGACGTGCAGCCGGGGCGGGCATCGGGCAGAAACCGTCGCGCGCCGAACCGACGCGCAGCCGGGGCGCTCATCGGGCAGGAACCGACGCGCAGCCGGGGCGCGCATCGGGCAGAAACCGACGCGCGCCCGGGGCGCACGACGGGCAGCTTGACAGACTGCGCCATAACGGAAGCTAACGGTGGGCCCAAAGATGAAGGCTCTAGGAACAAGCCTGCTCTTAATACCATTTCAAATTAGGCTCATAACTCACTGCTTAGTTACCTAGGGTTTTGGCTAGGAAACGTGAGTATGGAGAGGAAGGTTTGGCAAAAGAGGATGATTGATTAGAAAGGAAGGTACAAGTAGGAGAAAGGGTGGGCAAGATGGTGCACCACCAACAATAACAGTAACACTACACAGTAGCTACACTAGCAGGCAATTATAAGAAAATTACAATTTCTAACACGCTCTGTTACTAGTAGAGCCAGGCAGGGTCATCATGGCAGAATGCATGTAATGTCGCTGTTGTGTCCCATCCAAAACTCATCAGATACCAGTAGTTGATAAAGAAGGCCACCTTTACCAGTAGGTTCGTGCATTTGCAATCCACTGTGTAGAGTTACTCAAGTTATAAATGCTGTTCCACAATCGTAACAATCTTAAAGCGAGCAGGCAAAATAGTGACTCAAGGTCCAGTTTGAAAGTCTGGCACTGTTTTCATAGCGTGCTCTGGGCTCGACAAGAAGGGGCTCACTATTCATTTGAGCCGTGTCATTTCGAGGAGAGAGGCGAAAAAACACATTTGATTGGACAACGAGGTTTGGGGTCGAATGCGAAGTAGGGCATTGGTGGGCTTGCTTGCAAGCAATCGAGGCAAAGCGTGGGTTATCCTGTGCGACAGAGGAACGAAAACGAATGTAGCGCCCTGCTGGGAGAGGAGTAGACGAAACGAAGTGACTCGCTGGAAACAGAACCACAAAAAAATGAGGATTGGGCCGGAGCGAGCAAGACAGAATCCACCTGGCCCAATTTGAGCTTCAAAGTGGACCTGTGTTCCAGGCTAGCTAGCCATATCTTACTATTTTGCTCGTCATACGGCATCAGAGATGGAAGAGCAAAGGGAGTGTAACCCTGCACGATTTAGTTACGGGGAAAAGGGCCGCGCGTAGCATTGTATTTCGGGTTTATATCATAGCAGTCAATCGTGTGCTGGCGCCGTCAGTATCAGCTAGGACAGAGCGAAGGCAGTGATTATTCTTACCAACTACGAAGGAGATACCAGGGACATGTCAAATTACATTTGTATGTGTAGGCTGTAGTGGGGTAGGGTAGCCTCTACTGAGTACAACACTTAAGGTCAAACCTAGTACTTGTACTCATCCTTGCTTGCTAGTCAATCATTCCTGCACAAATGATTCTGATATGGTATTCGGAGCAGGAAATCTGTTAGGTTTTTAGGGCCCACCGATCGTTCCGCTAGTTCCTGCCCGAAGCGCCCTTGCGCTGTCCGGCACTCTCGCACAGTGTCACGCTGCCCTGCAGCTACTCGCACTGCCTGCCCTAGTGCGCTGCCCTGCTGTCACGTGCGCCCCTGCTGCCCGCGAGCAGCTCCTGCCCCGCGCGCCCCTGCTGCCCGCGAGCAGCCCCTGCCCCGCGCGCCACTGCTGTCAAACTTATATGCTATAGTCTGTTTAGGCTGTAGTGGGGTAGTTCATATAGGGTACAACACTTTTAGGTTTCCTACTTGTACCCACCTGCTTTCTAGTTCAGTCATTCATTCGTTCACTATTCTGACATGGTATTCTGAGCAGGTTCCCTAGTGGGAACGTTTTTTTTTAGGGCCCACCACGATTTTTTTTTTTCCTGCCCTGCCCGAAGCGCGCCTCGCGCCCTGCCCAAAGCGCGCCTCGCGCCCTGCCCTAGTACGGCCTGTCGCGGCCCTGCCTTAGCTGGCCCGTCGCAGCCCTGCCTTCGCCGCCCGTCGCTGGCCCGTCCCGGTCCGTCCCGGCCCGTCGCCGCCCATCGCTGGCCCGTAGCCGCTCGTCGCGACGCTGCTTTCGCCACCCACTGCGGCCCTGCCCTGCAGCCGCCCTGTCGCGGCCCTGCCTTTCGCCGCCTGTCGCTGGCCCGTCCAAAAAAAAAAAAGAAGTTTCTGAGCAGGTTCCCTAGCTTCGTGAGTGGTACACTCGGCGCTGTCGCCGAGCTGCTGGAGGTGCTGCTGGTGCTGCAGCTGCTGGAGGTGCTGCTGGTGCTGGGGCTGCTGGGGGTGCTTCTGGAGCTGGAGCTGCTGGAGGTACTGCTGGTGCTGGAGCTGCTGGAGCCGCTGGTGCTGGAGGTACTGGCGCTGTTGGAGGTCCTACTGGTGTTGGAGCTGCTGGAGGTGCTGGAGCAGCTGGTCCCGGAGGTGCTCGTACTGGAGGTACTGGAGCTGCTGGGGCTGGTGGTGCTGCAGGTGCTGGAGCTGTTGCTACTGGAGGTGCTGCTGGAGCTGGAGCTGCTGGAGGTACTGGAGCTGGTGGTGTTGCGGGAGTTGTAGCTGGAGACCCTGGAGCTGAGGGTACTGGTGCTGTCTCTGCTGTTTCTGGAGGCACTGCGCGGCCGCGGCCGTACTACGTTCCGCTCCTTCAGCAGGTTCTTGGTCTCCCGCCTTCTACTGGTCCTCCTCCCTTACTGAGTCCACCGCCTGTCCAGTCACAGTCGTAGTTAAAGCCAGCCTCTCTACTGCCTGGTCCTTCTCCTTACTCTGGACCGACTAGAGGTCTTACGAAGCGCCGTGAGCCTGAGTCTCGTCCTGCATCACCTGCGTCTCGTCCTGCGTCACCTGAGTCTCGTCCTGAGTCGCCTGTTCACACTGGTCGTCGTGTTCCACGTCAGCGTCCTCCTCCTGTCCCCGGCACTCACTCTATGACTCTGCGTCCTTCCACTGCTCCACAACGTGTCCCTCTGCCGTCTCCTCCTGCGTCCTCTCTTCATGCCCTTGCTGACCCTGAGTCTGACTCACTTCGTACTGCTAGTCCTACTGTCACGCGTCTCCTGGCCACTGTTGTCACTGACCCTTCCTTTGAGTCCACTGCTGCGTCTGCCTTAGTTGCTGAGCTTGTCGACTTTGCTGCTCACTGTCGTCTAGACTATGCCGCTAGTCTTGTTGCTGAGTTTGAGTCTGCGTTTGTCTGTCCTTCGTCCGTCGGGGGTGAGTGTGCTCTTGGCACGGACGTCCTTGAGGACAGACAGGAGGAGTTTGAGTGCTTTGCCGCTGCTTTACCTCATCTCGTGTCCATGCTGCTTGCCCTTGAGGGAGACCCGGATGCACCAGACATCCCGACCCCGCGCTCTTACGCAGAGGTGATAGAGGGTCCTTACTCCTCTCAGTGGCAGGCAGCCATGGATGTCAAGATGGCATCCTGGAAGTCCACAGGCACCTACATCGACGAGGTTCCCCCGCCTGGGGCGAACATCGTCAGTTGCATGTGGATTTTCAGGGTGAAGCGGCCGTCAGGTTCTCCGCCTGTCTTCAAGGCGCGTTACGGTGCACGAGGCTTCAGTCAGCGATAGGTAGTTTACTTCTTCCAGACCTTCTCCCCTACCCCGAAGATGACCACTCTTCGGGTGCTGCTGCACGTCGCCGCTCAGCGTGACTACGAGCTACACTCGCTTGACTTCAGCACAGCCTTCCTATAGGGCAGCCTGCACGAGGAGATCTGGCTGCGCCGCCCACCTGGCTTCACTGGGTTGTTTCCTGCTGGTACCCAGTGGAGCCTCCGCCGGCCAGTCTACGGTCTCCGCCAGGCACCCCGTGAGTGGCACGACACACTGAGGACGACTCTTGCTGCTCTTGGTTTTGCTCCTTCCACTGCTGACCCGTCGCTGTTTCTACGCACCAACACCACTCTGCCGCCGTTCTACGTTCTCGTGTATGTAGACGACTTGGTCTTCGCTACTGCTTGTCAGAATCCCAACGACTAGACCATTGGGATAAAAGGGCTTGTTAAGTAGTGGGTCAGTGCGCCCATAACCCCCCAGGACAATGAGCCTGTAACCCTTCCCTAGGATCAATCGGGGATCACCAGTGGACCTCTGACACCCCCCCGCACTGGGATGCCCGAAGTGCACACACTGGGATT